CAAGTAAAGGGGTTCAGTTCTAGTCTAAAACCGGCTGGCAGGGGAGAGACACAGCTGATCATGCAGAAATGAGGCTGTTAGCCCGCTGAGTTGGATGCATAGGGATGGGGGTGGGGGTGGGACGGGATAGAGGGAAAGAGGAATGAAGGGTGACTTCAGGTGCAGGGCCAAGCAAACTGGTGGGTTTTGTTTGCTGAGAAGACATGTTGGGGATATTTTTCAAAACTCAAGAGTATCACAGACAGCAAGTATTACTCAAGAAAAGAATGGGGAGCAGAACAGACAGATCGACCGAAATACACTGCTGAGGGGAGCAGCGGGGAGACAAGAGAGGTCTGCTGCGTCATGTGGGTCAGCTCCCTGGCTGGGGATTGAACTCAAGCCATCAGGGTGACAGTGCCAGGACTTAACCCCTAGGCCACCAGGGAGGCCCATCACCCTAGTTCTTTTACCAAAAATAAAATAAAATAAAATAAAAATAAATAAAAAACCCAAATGATTACAGCGATCAAGGAAACAATGAAAACAGCAGTGGTGGCCAGCCTCACAGCTGCCCCGGGTGACGCTGTGCGCGCAATCATCAGCGGGCTCCTTCAAACTCCTTCATCCTGGAAAGGGAAAGACCCTGACAAATTATTTCTAGGTACAATGCAGACTGGCCACCTGCCACACCGTGGGGGATCCTGTGCACTGTCACTCACACTGTAAACACCAGAGGGACCCCTCAAAGGGGCCCCAAGAAAAGTTAATCCCGTCAGGAATCAGCGAGTGCAGGTGACTCTACAGGATTCCTTCTCTTTATCCATCACCTCTGCCAGCAAAAAGCTTCCTGATGTTTTATTCAGAATACTTAGTCCCACAAGAAGGTACAAAAGATGCAAAAGGGCACTGTGGGTCACCGCTGCATTAAAGACCACATTCGATTGCAGCCCACACCCGCCTTCCAGATGGTCTCCAGCTGGGACTTCACCCCAAGGTTATGGTCCTGAAAACAACCCACAGCCTTGAAATATGTCTGCAAGTCTCCCTCTGGCCTGTTGACTGTTCTTGTGAAGTGACTGGGGCGAGAGGTTGTCATGCTATCTGTGAGCCTTTCTTATTGGCTGAGATTAACTGGCACCAGCATGCAGATAGGCTCCCAGGTGATCTGATAGGAGGCTGCGTACCGGGACCTGGATGTTCCACCAGACTCCAGCCCTCCCGGGTCTGAGGCTCCCCCACTCCCTTGGTGTAACCTTGCCTGGAGAAACCGTCCTTTCACCAGCAAGCCCTTCACCTGCTCAGTCAGGCAGCAGACTGGACTCCTCTACCTGGGGAAAAAAAAAAAAAAAAAAGGAAATCCTGAACCCAGGAGCGGTGGTCAAGGTCAACAGCTAGAAGGAATAAGTGCAGGGTTGGCTGCCAGGACGCCAGGCTGCAGCTCTCCCCACACCTGCCATTGATTGCCCCCACGGAATAAGCCATGACCTTCACATTGGGGAGTAGCTTCACAAAATGAGGATGAAGGGAGAGGGTAGGGCAGATTGAACGTGAGGGGCCCTCAGACTTCCTTGTTTGTCAAACTCACCTGCAGGACATCCTGAAGAAAGAGATCCTGGGGTTCAGCCATGATCCCTAGCGGGGGGTTCAGTGAGAATATGACACTTAGGCTTCAGTACCAGGGTCCTATGCAATTCTCAGAGGTTCCATGGGGCTTAGTCTACTGCATGTGTCGGGAACGGGGCAGGAGAATATATAAATTACCCATGGAAAACCCTCTTAAAACACTTATGAGATCCAGTGAAATGCTGTGGAGAGAAAGCGCCCGCAAGTCACAAGCAGGCATAACACGCAGTGCTCACAGCCAGCGGCTCAAGCAACATGACAGCCTTTGGAGACAAAAGTGGGTGGATAAGTTGAATCTGAGTGAGTTAAATGCTCCCATATTTTGGCTCAGGGACACAGGACACGGAGAGCTATGTCACTGTCCCCATGCTGTGACGAAGAGGTAGAGCCGAAAGGTCGAGAGACCTGCCCCAGCCTGTACGTGCGGGGACCAGAATTCAGCCTGGAATATGTCTGCTCCAAGGCTACACTTTTACCAACAGCCACAGACCAGGTCATTTTTCACCATCCCCCAAGGGTAAAGTTCAGAAATGTCCCAGGAGTCTCAGATCACTGCTACCTTAAACATCCAGTTTAGAAGACAAGCTACTCCACAAGGAAATCTCAAGATAAAAGTTTGAGGTGTGTCCTTCCTAGCAACAGAGGTGCGGACCAAAAATGGTTGCCCCGAGGCTTGGAGATTAGGGGGGGAGGTGCGGAGAGGCAGGGTGAGATGACCCATCCCATATGAACCTATCACTGCAAGTTATTTAAATGTCTTTCAAGATTTCCTTCCTACCACAGTTACCTATACATCTTCATATTAATAAAAAAGAAAGTCTTTCAGAGGGAAAAGATGTGCCAGGATAAAGGACATTTCAGAAAGGCCTAGAACTCTGAAGTGCACAGGCTGGGAGGTCACAAGGACGCTGGAAGAGGTCGGCCCCATGACAGGTTAGGCAAGACTAGGAGCACTCCCTGACCCCCAGGCGTGCAGGCTCTCCACCTGCATCCTCTCATTTAATCCCTACCTGTGCAGGTTGGGAGTGCTGTGGGGCATCCATACTACACTGGGAAACTGAGTCTTAGAGACTTTGATGCTTTAGACTCGTGTGCTTACTATCTGCCAGGCACTGTTCTAGACCTCTGACGTGTCCTAGCTCCATCCGTCCGCGTACAATCCTATGAGACAGGTGCCAGGTGCCCAAGTCACAGAGGAGCCTGCTAAGCCAAAGCAGTTAGAGTGGCCAGCGAGCGCCCACCGGGAGACAGGGGTGAGGCCAGGAGAGGAGTCCGGGAGCTCTGAAGCCCACCCCACAACACCTTGCCATCCCCAGGCTGCAGGGCCTCAGCGCCCAAGTTTCTGATTCTGACTTTGTCTCTTCTGCAAGTTGCCAGGGGCTGCTGGTGCTGTCTTTCTGGGAAGCAGGCTTCGAGAACACAGCTTCAGAGCCAGCTGCCTTAAGTCACCTTGCATCAATCCTGAAGGCCGCCAAAGTACCTGTGTTTTCAGAAACTCCTCCAGAACCATTGGCCAGAAATGTTTAAAATAATTCCTAGAATTTCTCTCAATGGAGATTTTTGCTATAGCTTGGCGGTCAACAGAGGCCGCAAACTCGTCTTTAACGGGAGCCCCGCGTCTTCTAAGTTTGTTGTTAGCCGCCCAACGCGAGCACAGATCTCGCACCCAGACCCCGAGGCCAGGTAGGACGCCCGGGGCCCGCGGTGCTCGGGAACCCGCCCGCCCGCCGAGGCGCGGGGACAGCGGAGAGACCCGACCCGGGGGGCAGCCCCACCCCCGAGCGGCCCGGCACCTACCCAGGGCGGGTCGGCGCTCCTCGTTTTTTACTGACATTTTCTTGATTTCCCCGCACCCAGTGCGCACACAGTCTGGCACCTCACACCCGCAGGGGTTGAACAAAATTCGCCAAAGTTCTTCTCCAAGGGCGCGGGGACAGGAGGCGGGCGAGGAGGGAACCGTCTCAGGCGAGGGAAGCGACCGGGCAGGTGGGAGGCGGGGGGCGCCCCCCTCTGTGGTCTCGCGGCCCTCGGGGTAACAGGGCGCAGGGTGTGGTGTGGGGGTTCTGGTGGAAATGGGGGGGTGGCGGGCAGGGCGGTGAGAGCGCCCCGGCGCGGGCGTGGTGGGGCGCGCCGAGCCGGGCAGGGGGCGCGGGGCACCCCTGGCGCGAGCGGGCGGCCGCAGCCATCTTACGCCCCGGGAGCGCCTCACAGGTCGGGAGGGGCGATGAGGGGCGATGAGGGGCGCGGCGCCGGACCCCGCCCCGCCGGGGCCTCTCCGGGGCGCGGGCTGCCGGCGCCCCGCGCCCACACACCGCCCGCCGGGCAGCGCGCGTCCGCCGAAGGCCCCGCGGGTGAGCGGGCGCGGCGGGGGGCGGCCGGGGCGGGGTTCGCGCCGCGCGCCCCCGGAGGGGACGTGGCGGGGGCTCGACGACAGGTGTCCGGGTCCACGTGCAGGGCCGCCCGCCGCCGCCGCCGGGCGGGGCGCTCGGGTCCCGGGGTTCCGGGGAGCCCGAGGGGTCCTGGCTCGGGGAACGGGTCTCCCGAGAGGCCCCGAGGAGCTGCAGGTGGCAGCGCCCGCCGGGGCCCCGACGCCCCTCCTCCCTGCGCGCCGGGCCTCCCCCAGGTGCCGCGGGGCCGCGAGGCGGCCGCGCCCCACCCGCCCGCCTGCCGGGCGCGGCTGCCTTTCAAAGAGCGGCTCAAAGGCGGGACCCGGCGGTTTCAGCCCGAGGCCAACGGCTGCCTCGCAAAGCGAAACTCGCGGCCGCCGGCTTCAGCGCCCGGAGGAAGTGCGGGGGGTGCCCCAGCCCCCCGCGGCCGCGCCACACCCTCCCCGCGGGCCCCGCGCCTTCTCCGCCCCTCCCCGCCGGGGTGCCCCCTCGTCCCCGCAGGGTCGGCCCTCTACCCCCGGGGTCCCCCGCGCTCCCCACTGGGGTCTCCCGGCCCCTCCCTCCCCATGGCGCGCGCTCCCTCCCCGTGGCGCGCGCTCCCTCCCCGGGGTCCCGCGGCACCCTCCGTCCCCGGGACTCGCTCCTCCGTCCCCGCCCTTCCCCCGGACTCCCCGCACCCCCTCCCTCCTCCTGGAGTCCCCGCACCCCCTCCCTCCCTGGGGGCTCCCGCGCACCCCCGGACTCCCCCCTCCGTGCCCTCGCTTCCCCGGAATCCCCGAGCCCCCTCCCCGGGTGCCCGGCACCCTCCGCCCCCCGGGCCGCCCCTCGGGCCGCCCCCGCCCCGCCCCGCCCCGCCCCCCGCGGGCGCCCCGCCCGGCCCGCCCGGCCCGCCCGGCCCGCCCGGCCCGCGGTAATCGCAGGTTGGGCGGAGACGCGCCGGGCGCCGCCCGCCCGGCTCTTAAGCGCAGCGCGCGGCGGCGCCGGCCTCGGGACGGGAGGAGGCGCGCGCCGAGTCCGCTCTGCCCGCAGGTCGCGCCGCGCCAGCGCCGCGGGGAGCAGCTTCTCGCCGGCCGAGGACACCACCGCCGCCACGATGCCGAAGCCGGTGAGTCCCGGGGGCCTGGGCGCGCGCGGCGGGCTTGTCCCTCGGGTTTCCACCTGGGCGGGAGCGGGGGCAGGTCCAGGTGGGGCCGGGCGCCTTTTCCAGCGACCCCGCGCAGGAGGGCAGGGTCCTGCCTCTTTGTTGTGGGTCTGTCTGTGGCGCTCTGGGGGAAGAGGAGGGACGATGGTCCTTTCTGTTCGCGGTCTCTGCTGGCAGCCTCCCCTCCGTTTATAAAAATGAGTGCAAATTGTTGTAAATTTCAGCATCCTCGCTTGCACCGCGGCAGTTCTTTTTTAAAAGTGTATTGTGGTGCGACTCGGAAGTTTCCTAGGAAGTTACTCGAGTCTCCGGGAGATCAGGTGGCCGCGAGGACACACCCCAACGGCAGAGCCTTTCATTGTGCGGAACTTGGGCTCCTGCTGTGGCACTTGCCGGGCCTCCGAGGGAGGCCGCCGCTGGGCAGCTGCGTGGCCGTGGGCCCGCCTGGAGCGGCCCCGCGCGCCGGGAATGTGCTGCTGGCAGCAGGATTCCCGTCTCCGACAGGTTTAGTAATGCGCTGGAATTACAGATGCGGGAAGGCCGCGCTGGAGCCTGATAAGGAGGCTCCTTGGGCCTCCGGCCGTGCACTCCCGGCCACATCATAATCCCTCGTAAATACCAGCTGATCAAAGTGCTGCTGGGCCTCACCTCTGTCCCCGGGAATCCGATCAGGTTGCCATGGCAGTTAGACTGCTCTCGGGGCCAGGGTGTTGAAAGTTGTGTGTATGCTACCTGCTTGAACACAGGTGGACTGGTGACTAGGTGCTAGGGAGAGGCTGTCCATCTTTTTATCATAAAGATTTATTTATTTATGCATACAAGAACTGGGGTATAGTCCAGAGGTGTGGAGGGTGAGAGGATTCACCAGAGACAGGGTGGGGAGCAGAACAGGCAGACTGACTGAAGTACACTGCTGGGGGGAGCAGCTGGAGAGTCAGGAGAGGTCTGCTGTGCCATGTGGATAGCTCCCTGGCCAGGGATGGAACTCGTGCTGCAGTGGCTGTGGAGAGCTTCATAGGTTGCGTCTTAACCCCTTGCGCCACCAGGGAGGCCCCTGTCTATCTTTTTAATTAATTGAGTTTGGATTCAGAGTGGAGAAAATACCATGATTTGTTAAAAATTGCATGGGAAGGGCCTCCCCGGTGGCGCAGCGGTTGAGCGCTGGGTTGCGAAGCTGCCCTCAGCCTCTGCAGTGCCGGTTCGATCCCCGGCTGCTCCCCGGCCACCGGAGGAGGGTCCCACATGGCGCGCAGACCTCTCCTGCCGCCCGCTGCTCCCCTCAGCAGTGTACTTCGGTTCTTCTGCCTGCTCTGCTCCCTGTTCTGGCTCTGGTGAATTCTCTCACCCTCCCGCGCTTCTGACTGTACCCAGTGCATGTGTAAACAGAACAAACAAACAAATAAATAAATAAATAAACATGCCTCTATTAAAAAAAAAAAAAAAAATTGCATGGGAAGGTACACATGGAATTTATTTCTAGTTTTTCAAACAAATTGGTTTGTGCTTATGTGTTTTTTCAGCCATTAAAATTTTCATTCTCTAAAGAGTTCTTTATTAATAAAGTCCTATTTTATTGCTAATTTTAATAAATTAATCTGTGAACACACTAATAGATTCAGAAGCCATTATAGTTTTTGCCTGAGTTACATCATGGAGATGATTCATTCATGATCTAGAAATTTTTTTGCCTACACAAAATTCTTTTCATTTCAGACTTGCAGATGACATGCCATCTTGGCCTTGCAAGCTGAACTAAAAGCTGCCCCTTCCTCAGGGCCCAGCCCAGGGCAGTGTGGGTAGGGCTGTGGTCACCAGTTTACTGGCCCTGTTGTGGTTTTCTTTATTTCACTGAGAGAAGATGCAGAGCTCAGTTTTTAAGATATCACTCAGAAAAAAGTCAGGAAACAAGTTTCCAGTCACTTCTCTTTTCTCATAATGAACTGTAATTTCTTTCATTCTTTACCTCTTTTTTTTTTGTGGTAAAATAACATAAAGTCACCATCCTAAGTATCTTTGAGTGCACAGGTCACTGGCACTTTGGTCCCCACCATCCATCCCCAGAACATTGCTCTCCCCACACTGAGCCACACCTGTGAAACACCAGTTCCCAGTGTCCTGCCCCCATCCCCCCACCCTGGGACTTTCTGTCTTTGAGACTCTCAGCACCTCACCTTCTTGGAATCTGACTGTAGCCTTTGGTGACTGGCTCCTTTCGCTCCGCATGATAGCCTCCAGGATCATCCTCATGGTGATGTGTCAGATGCCCTTCCCTTTTAGTTCTATTTCTTACTGCAAGTATGTTTTCATTTTCTGTAAAGGTCTTTTCAGGTGGATGAGAGACTTAGGAAAGTTCTTCTGACAGAGTGAACAAGATCGTCGTTAGACTTAATTAAGGCAGGCAGCATCCTGTGTTAGAGTCCCAATTAGCAGGACCACATTTGGCAGACCATATATTATATAATATCTACAGCTATGAAACTGGAACGGTGTTGAGAGATCTCCTTTTCAGGTCAGCCTAGAAGGAGGAAGTGCCTCTCTGCCCCCCACCGCTGTTGTTGTAGGAGAGGGTCCTGGAGCGTTTGCCTTGGTGTAAGATAAATAAGTAAGCCTTTTCTTGTCCAATTTGTTAGGATGGGCCCACAGGACTTTGAGGAGAGCTTGCTGGCCCACACTTTTTAATGTGCCACTTAAGGCTGTTACAGAGTATCTAGCTTTTGTTACTGTTTTTCTTTTGCTGATAGTTACAGCATCCACCCATAAATAGGATGGATGCCTCCTTTCAAGAAAGGATTGTTCATTCTTCACATCTAATAAGGATTTTGTAAGGTGGTTTCCATGTGATCTGGATGCTTAACAATAGGGTAGGGAGGCAAACAGCTTGCCCTCAAGGTGGTAACATGCTAGTAGCTGGGCTGCGGCTTGGGCTGCGGCTTCCTCCCGCTCAAGTGCTCTGCTGATTTGCCTTGATTGAATCAGTGGATGACTTTTACATAAAACAGTAAAAATGAAATAATATCTGTTGGCTGCTTTTTTTCTCTTTAATGCCTTTTTTCTCTTTAATCCTCAAGTCACCACTTGTGAAAAGTTCCAGTATCCACCCATTCAGCAAGCCTGTGTCTTGCATGCTGAGTGTGTGTGTGTCGGGGTAGGGGGTGCACAAGTGGGTGAAAGTGTTCTTGTCTGGGGACTCACAGGCCGGACCCCTGGCCCAGACTCTCACTCATGCTGAAACAGGAGCCGGAAACTGGCCGAGTGCCATCACAGGGGAAAGAGGCTTAGGTGAAGTGCCATACGGTTAAGAGGAAGCCATCAGACGGGGATACAGCACTTGAGTGAGAAGTGAGGGGGTGGCTGCGGCCTCTGGGGCCTGGCCCTGGTGGAAGGTGATGGCCAACCTCCTGGGAGGGACGCTGTGTGTTTAGGGTCTGCCTTTGCTTTTCCCGCAGTGGCTTTGGCTCTGTTTATATGTGACTGTCTGACTTCCAAAAGGGAGACTTGGGGTCCAGAAGGCTCTGTGCCCCGCTCACCGGTCTGTTTGGCTGCTGTGTCTGTCCCCTGCAAAGAGGCCTAGCGGTGGTCCTGTGCCCAGGGTTCAGCGGAAGGAGGCCAGGGGACCCTTCTGCCTTCCTCTTCCCCACTCTTGCCCTCTTGGCCGTGATAGCGCAGAAGATTGGGTGGCAGAAAGGAAACCACAGTCAAGGAAACCACGTAGGCATAAGGGGTGTGTGCGAGGCCAGCTTTGAACGCCGTTCTCTGAGACAGACATGACCGCCCTGCCACCCCAACCCCCTTGAGTGGCACCCACAGTGCACTTATTCCTGGGGTGCAGATGTGGATGTTTTGCAGATAAAAGTAGGTTTCCCCCTCCAGGAGGAAAACTCTGAACAGCTGCTCAAATACTGCCCTCTGCCCGGATTTTCAGATAGCTTCTGAGATTACCCTGCCTGCCCCGGGAATACAGCGCTTTCTGCACTGGGTTTTTCAGCAGGGAGAGAATTTGCTGATTCTGCTGATACAGTTTCCATTCCTGCCACCACCGCCGGGGACACACGGCATCTATTTTCTGGGCTCGCCTCCTTCACCAGGGCAGATGGTGAATTAGGTGGCTCAGATTTTCCAGTGTGGCGGTGAGGAGTGGTGGCTACGATGAGTCATCCGTCCTCGTCACCGAGAGGCACAATGGCTCCATTTGTATGTCCATCCATGACTTAAGCAGATGTTTACTGTGTTACTATGCTGGATGCTGAGGCTACTGAGATGAGGAGACCCAGAAACAGCCCGTCATCATGGATTTACAGTCCAGCGAGGGGCGCAGACAATAATCATTGAATGCATGGGTGTCTGTAATGATGTGTGTGGTGGGTGGTGGTTGGGGGGAGGGCTAATCAGGGAGGTCAGGAAGGCACCCTGAGGAGGTGATGTCGTGCTGAGCAATGTAAGGAATGCTGGGCGTTCACCAGCTGAAGGGGGGAGGCAAAGAACATCGTAGGCAGAGGAAAGGACTTGTGCAAAGGCCCTGTGGTAGGAGTGAGTAGGGTCAACTTAGCATTTGCGGGGAAGACCAGTGTGGTCAGAGGGGAAAGGCAGCTCTGCAGAGCCTCCTAGGCCATAGTGGGGCATTTTTGAACTTGGGATGCTCTGGCGGGTTTCAACTGGAAGGAGGTGACCTCATCAGATTGGCCTTTTGAAAGGTCAGGGCGCCTGTGATAGGAGAGTCAGTAGGAGGCAGGTTGGGACAAGAGTGGAGCTGGAGGCCTGTTGGAGCAGCTGAGGTGGACCCAAGGGGTGGTGATGCAAATGGCACGAGGTGACCACGCACCTGACCCTTGACCCTGGAGGGTTAGCAGGGTGTGGGTTCAATAACAGTCACCTCCTTGTCAGTTGGTTGAAATATTGGGATTGAAGCCAGTGGATGGGAAGGGCCCACTCTAGTCACACAGGACTTTAAGCTGGGGTGGGGAGCA